ATGAATGAACCTAGTAGGTATAATGCTGACGGTAAAGCTGAGGTGGCGTGGATTAAAAATGAGAAAGAATCCAAGAACAGGGAAAGAGAAGCTTCACAAGCCAAGGGAGTAGATGAGGAAGCTATGCTGAATGGTAAAGGACAATTCGGGAGTGGTGCTAAAAAACAGCTGCCTCAGAACTTACTCAATATATTTAATCAGATTGCTGAATTTGAAAGGGAAAAAGGAAGTAAGCAGAAAAATCAGTGAGTTAAAAAATTAAGTTGGATAGAGTAAAATATCTGCTTTTAATCACTTGACAAGTCTATACCCCTAAGTTTTTGTTTAAGTATGCTTGTTAGGTATTGATTTGAACAATGATAAATATGCAAGAGTTGTATCATTTTTTAAAAATTGAATTCCTTATGCTGTTAGGGTATTAAGGTATGGTGGTGTGCCTGGCTGAACAACCCTTACCTATTAAGACTGCCACCTGTGCTATCTGGCATCAAAATTGCACTTTAAAAGATTTTTTTCCAAGGTACAGATGACTGTTACTTTGTATTGTTAATAATATAACCATGTATTGTTAAAATAAATTAATTGAAATATTTTTAATGTATATCATTAATGTAAATAGTCTGTCTTACTATTAAATTTTTTACAAAAAAATTACTGCTTCCCAAATTTTAATTCAGAACTTACAGAACAAGGGTACCTGGTGCAGTAGTTGCGCCCAAGGAAGACTCTGCTAGTGCTAGTCTAAAGACCCAAGATTGTATACTCAAATGTGTGCATGTGTTGCATTTTTCCTGTACATCCCATGTTTTCCTGACTGTTCTGTTAATAGAAAGAACAGAAGAGACAAGGAGTCAGGTTGGCTTCTGTAGGAAGAACCTCTAAAAGGCCACATGGAGCTATTACTTGCAGCCACTGAGGACAACAGTTGGGAGCTTTTGCATAATAAGCAACATGGCAGGCCTAGGTGAGGGAGGGAGTGCAGTAGGGTGACCCAGATACATTCAACGCGTAAATGTTACGGGGAACTAGTGCTCTGCTTACACGTGAAGCTCAAAGATGGCTTTATGGCCCTCTTCTCTACAACAGAACCAGCAACTCTTAGTAGGTGGTGGTGGTAGTTTTATTTATTATGCTTTTAGAAGAGCATTTTGGGGTGAAGCAGCAGACGTTTTAAGGAATACATGGCACAGAAAGGAGCCACGGTGGATCTTACTCTTTCCCCACCCCTCAGGTCATTGTGTAGTTGTCCAGAAAGCAAGCCACTTTTTAAAATAAATGTTCCTATGGGAAAGTTGGAGTTCACAGGAATGACTTTTGAGTTTAAAAGAGTATGCATTCCTTTCAGTTAGCAGCCAAGGCAAAGGAAGGAGAATGTACTACACTGGAATTCAACAAAGGCAGCATAAGAGGATGAACAATATTTTATCAAATTTTGAGGGTGCCTGACTCCTGAGTTACTCTGGGTTGCTTACAGTTAAAAAAGATCAACCATATAAATAATACAATGGACAGGAGGAACAAAATAAAAACCATTAACCACACCAAAACAAGACAAAGGACGGGGGGCAGAAGGCTCTAATCACCCTGTCCCCAAGGTCAAGGACATGTCTTCAATTATCTGAACCAGCCTCCAACCTCCAGCAAAGGAACAAATCTTTGGCCACCCCAGCAGCTGTGGCCTTTACATTGCTGAAGCTGAGACTCTCCAGCTCTCCTGTGCGGGCATAGCCATCTTCAAGCTGACCACCAATTCCAGCACAGCTCCAGAAGACCTCTGGGCAGCTGGCAGTGTCAGGGCTCCCAGGATTCCTGGGACTTCGCAAGGGCCAGTAAGTGTAATGCCACTAATCACTGACCCTTGCCCTTGAAAAGATGGTGCCCTCCATCCACACCATAAACAAACAATGCCAGATACATTCAGCCTTCTCAAGCTCCACACACACTTCCAGTCACCATCTTTGAAAAGTGTTTAATTTTTTTTCCTCTACCAATTTCATGCAAGCTGCCCTGCTGGGAGCATTTAGCATGAACTGCTATCTTAGCTGTTCTTAGGATCCTGGGGTGAAAGGAAGGAAATAAAGATCTTTTCTGCATTCATATTATTTCTTATGGACAAAATACTCAAAACCTTTCAAGTTTGTTTCAGTGAAACAGAACAATTAAAGTGGCTTATGATCTTTCTGCTGAAATGCAGTCAATTTGAAATATTTTGGCGGAAGTTTTGGATGGGATACTTTGACAGCAAAGCCACAGATTTTCCATTTCACTGACACCCTTTTGCATCTCTGCAGGATAGTTCTGCACAAATTGCTTCAACATTTCACTCAGTTGAATAAATGAAAGTCCTTTAACTCATTTAACTGTTGCTCTATTGTTAATTGGAACTTTTATTACTGGTGTTAAGTGTTTAAGATAAATTGGGAGAGATGCAAGAATCAGATAACCAGTTTAGACTGAAGGTTCAAATGTAGCAATTGAATTTGCAGGCAACAAGCCTTAATTTGGCAATTCCTGCAGCTGCTTGACTTTGGCAGAATGAGATGAAAAAATCAGACATTATTCCTCTAGGGTTTTAGGTGGTTATCTTCAAGGATTTCATTGTAATGCCTTTTTGAAGTATGCCCCCTCTACTTCCCTCAAGGCTGAGATGAGGAAAGGTCAGCACTGCAACTCCAGATTGGTCAGCAAGAGCCTACAAAAAATATGCTGAACTTGTGGACCCTCAATTTCAAAATATTTTAAAAAATAATTTGTTAAAACCCTAGTAACGTATCATCCTCTGAGTACTTGAATTAAGGACAAGTAAGAAAAGGTGGGAGTCTGGAGAAAGGTAGAGGATCATACAAGACAGGGTACCTCAACCTCAGCAACTTTAAGATGGGTGGACTTCAACTCCCAGAATTCCCCAGCCAGCCATGCTGGCCTGGGAATTCTGGGAGTTAAAGAATTTAAAGAATTCTGGGAGTTAAAGAATTTCCACCCATCTTAAAGTTGCTGAGGTTGAGGAACCCTGATACAAGAGATAATCAGGTAAAAGCAAAATAAATCTGTCCCTCCCATAACCAAATCTGTCTAAACAAATCTGAGCAGAAAAGCAAGACCATAGAGAGTTGTGTTCCTTCAAACACTCTAGTGCAGTATATTTCAAACTTGGGTGGGGGATTCTGGGAGTTGGAAGTCCACACATCTTAAAGTGGCCAAGTTTGAAAAACTTTGCTCTAGCAGGTAATGTTTGCAGAAGTGGTAAAAAGCACCCTTTACCAAGTCAGTTAAAGGTTTAGCAGCTGCGTGTGCTTACCATGATATACAGTGGAACCTCGGGTTACGAACGCTACTGTTCATGAACTTTTCGGGTGACAACCAGCTCCGGCCGCAAAATTTTGCTTCGGTTCGCGAACTCCGCCTCGAGTTACGAACAGGATCCGCAGCCATTTTCCCTCCCGTGACCCGGTCCGCGGCCATTTTCCCGCCCGTGACACGTGGTCCGTGGCCATTTTTTCGCCCGACACATGGTCCGCGGCCATTTTCTGCCCCTGACACATGGTCCGTGGCCATTTTTCCACCCGACACTTGATCTGTGGCCATTTTCCACCCCTGACACATCGTAGGGAGGGGGACTCTCCCTCCAAGCAATAGCCGCCTCCCTGTCCTCCACGCCAGAACGGATTAACGGTAATTACATTGAACCTTATGGGAAAATTTGCTTCGGGTCATGATCAATTCGGGTCGCGACCAGAGTCACGGAACGAATTAAGTTCGTAAACCAAGGTTCCACTGTATTTGTTTAGTGTTACCCCTGC